TTTTTTTTTTTTTTTTAGTTTTATTTGTTTAAAAGGAAGAGAGTGATATTGCATTGGCAAATTCCCCATAGAAACAAAGAATGGAACAAAAGAATAATAAAGGCACCTCAACGTTTCCTCATTTATGTAGGACAGTCTTATAATATGCATCCAGATATCTTCCAGTCACACAAGTTGAAAATTGTTCCACTTTACTGCAGTTCTGTAACCATATGGGAACCAATCCTGTCTGTGTTCTGTGCACATCCAAAATTCCTGCTGAATGACCCGCCCTGGGAGCGAGTTACCAGTGACCCAGGGCTGGGGTGACAGGAGGGTGCAGTGGGGGGGGCAGCCAAAATTTTTTTTGCTTTGGGCAGCAAAAAACCTAGAGCCGGCCCTGTTCGTTAGAGCCTATGCTGATGCTTTTTCGTTTTACTAGGTGCTAGCTTGTCACGTATGAAATTGGCAAGGGGAGGCCCCTATAGCCAGAGGGGAAGGAGAGAATGCCTGTATGTGAGCCATTCTGCTGGGACAGAAGGACTTCTGCCAATTTCCAGTGGAAAAACCTAAGAAAGGGTTAAGGCAGGCAGTGAACAATGTGCATTGTACATAGCAGTGTCAAGGCCGCTGGGCCAGAACAACATTAAAGCATGTTGAGAAGCGGAAACACCATGAGCCGTCAGGAATAGATCATTTCCTATAGTACATCTTCCTCATAGTTAGATGGGTTTTAGAATAATACACACCTATGTCTCTTCTCCTAAACCTCCACACTCACTCCTAGGAAATGTTTCTGAGCAGAGAAGAATTACAAGAACATTTACTCTTTTCCTTCACTGCCCCACTCCCAAACAGATTCCAGTCATTTAAAAATGTGATGGGACATATTTTATTCAAAAGAGGGGTACAAATCTCTCTCGCGATGCTGCGAGCCGTCCCCTTGTACATTACTTCGGCTCAGCATACTTGACAACTTTTACAGCAGGGTGTTCCACCCAAGCATAGTACACCCGCTACTGTACCAAGAGGGCATATGCTCAAGTTCACTAAGCAGAAACCCAGTCCGCCTCCACAGGGAATAATCGGTGTGCCATCTCCTGCACAAGAGAAAAAGAAATGATTGGTTGGTAGCCAGAGCTGCAAATAGAGGATGAACAGTGGGCTAGGTACTCTCCCTGGCCTCTCACTTGGTTGCTTAAATGGTCAAACATGTGGTGCCTGAACGTACACTCCTAAGTCCTGACGTAGGGACCAAAAGAAAAGTGGTCTGGCTTTCCGAGGGGTCAGCTGTCTACCACTGCCATTGACTCCACTTTTGGGTGCTCAGCACATCTCTGAACTTCACTTTAAAGTTCCTAAACAGGGAGGAAGGTGCCTACGTTTAGGATGGGAACATGAAGCCCAGGCTGCAGATGCTGGACGCGGGGAGCGCTCTACTGGCAAGGAAATCTGCACATAAAAAGGAACAGGGTTGCACATGCATTCACTTGGCACCAAGGGAAAATGCTTCAAATTATAAATACTATTGCAAGACTGAGAATCCCAAACCGTGTAGCAAGCAATAACGAGTGCAGGGAGAGACTGCACCCCCAGGACCTCGTTAATACAATTAGGCTCCTGTCTGCACACTCAATCTTAGGGCTTGTCTACACTTGAAACGCTGCAGTGGCACAGCTGCAGCTGAGCCACCGGGTGCTTCAGTATAGAGACTGCCTATACCGACCGGAGGGTTCTCCCAGTGGCGTAGCTAATCCATCTCTCCAGGAGCCTGTAGCGAGGTTGACGGAAGAATTCTTCCACCGACCTAGTGCTGTCTACACTAGGGGTTAGGTTGAATTAACTACATCACTGAGGGGCATGAATTCCTCACCCCCCTGAGTGATGAAGCTGGGTCAACCTAACTATTTTAGTGTAGACTGGGCCCGAGGCAATGTATTGCATTTGCTTGTGTGCAAAAAACCAGACTGATTTAAAAGCCCCCATCCTGTATTTTCTATATGAGAGTGCGGAATCATTTAGAAAGGGGGGTTTCTTTCTTATTTTAACATTTTCTTTTGTATTAAAACTTTGCAATGTTTAACAGACATTCACAGAAAAACCCAGTCAACTCTGACAGCCGAACACTGTAGCAACAGAACAAATTCAAGACAGCATAGAACCGTGTACTTTAGATCTTATCTTACAAATATATGAGGTAAGTTCCTCAGGTGGAGTAACCTGGTGTAGCTCCAAGAGTTCAAAGACCGTTCAACACGAGCTGAGGATCGGGTCCTAAATGTCAGCCCATGAAGCTTAAAGCAGCTTGTGAGTAAGTTAAGGACACAATTGTTCTCAGAACTGGGGACTAAAAGTACCGGGAGATTAGCTTTGAGACTGGCTTAGGCTCTGTCCTGGTAATGCCAGAGATGAGTCTCTCTTTTTCAGCAAGACAGGTGTTCATTCAGAGCAATGAACTCACCAAAGCCACATGCAACCGCAACCTTCATTTTCCAACACACACAATGCTGAGAAAGCTGTGATCAGTGGGAATTCAGGGCTGAGACACTGGGTGGAGTTTTCCTTTAATCCAAACTAAAGGAATTGAATGTCTTTGTTGCAGCTTCTTGGTGCTACTGCAACATGAAACCTACATAGTAAAAATAATCCCTACAGGTTATTTTATCTCTCACCTGGACCAGCATGGAAGAGGAGGAGGGCAACAACACAGAGCAGGTAGAGGCCCTTCATGGCTGAAGGTCGGCTGGGATCTCAGTGTCACTGCAGAGAAGTTGCACCAGGCAGAGCGAGATGGAGGAAGAGACAGAGTGTCCCAGTATTTATAGGGTTCTGTGGACTGTGACGTGTTGACCCATGGGATCCTAGGTGCACCTGATGCAATCTGTAGCCAGAAATCCCTGTAAAGAGCTGCATGCATCACTTGTTCTAAACAATCACCCAGAGTTTCCCACGTCAGAGCAGGAGTTAACAATTCCTCTCTATCCAAGCAGTGTGGCTGCCGGGCCTTAAAACCCTCTAAGGATGGACATTCCGCCACCTCTCTAGGTAACCCATTCCAGTGCTTCACCACCCTCCTAGTGAAATAGTGTTTCCTAATATCCAACCTAGACCTCTCCCCCACTGCAACTTGAGACCATTGCTCCTTGTTCTGACATCTGCCACCACTGAGAACAGCCGAGCTCCATCCTCTTTGGAGCCCCCTATCGCAGGGCAGGGGTAAAACCCCCTTTAAAGCCCTGCCAAAATTCTGGCTGTGGTCTGCTCTCTGGTCAGGAGCGCAGGTTAGAGACATAGGTATTCAGCAGGGAGTCCAGCTGCAAGCCCTAATCAGGGCTGGCTCAGAGGAACATGCCGAGCTATGTGCTGATAGCTAAGCTGAGGCACGGGAGGGCTATAAAAACCCTGAACAAACCTCATAGGAGGTGAGACTGGGAGGAGACAGGAGGGTAGTATCGTTGTCCCCTTACCAAAGGGGGAAGCTTCAGGGACAGGAGACCCTGGGGAGGGCCTGGGAGGAGCGCTAGCTGTGGGGAGACCGGGGAACTGCATGAACGTTGTAAATAAAGACACTTGGGTGATCCAGCTAAAGAAGGTGTGGAAGGCTCTTTATTATACCAGCCTTAACACAGGATGCAGGCATAAAAGTGGGAGAGCCAGCAATGAACTTTGTGACGCCCCCTCCCACCTTCAGGTAGTTGAAGGCTGCCATCAAATCCCCCCTCACTCTTCTCTTCTGAAGACTAAATGAGCCCAGTTCCCTCAGCCTCTCCTCGTAAGTCATGTGCCCCAGCCCCCTAATCATTTTCATTGCCCTCTGCTGGACTCTTTCCAATGTGTCCACATCCTTTCTGTAGAGTGGGGGCCCCCAAACTGGATGCAATACTCCAGATGTGCCCTATAGCTCCTAGCCATGGGTGACCTTATCTAGCAGAATGACAGAGTCTTGTCTAGTTTAGAAGGTGCTAATGTACATGTGTGTTTACTGGTATGAATGGGCTTATACTACTATAGCTTACTCCCGTACAGAAGGGGAATAGGATATATCATTATAAGCCCATTGAGAGCAGTATGTCTGTGTTTACATTAGGGGTAACATCAGTAACAAATCACCCCCCTTATGAATATTGTTATACCGTGACAAAAATGTATGTAGACTGACCCCTATTCCAGACAAGGCCTTAAAAAGGTCTCTGGTCCTTAGCACACCTTTTGCATGGGCATCACCGCATTTTCTAGAATGTTTTCTCACTATTCTTGTCACACTCTTGACTTGTCTCCTGGTAACATTTCTCATTGGTTTCACAAGACGCAAAGGAAAGTTAATATTTGTCCCTTCTGCAGTGGGTCCTTCTCCCAGCACAGCCTGAGAGGTGGTTGGAGTCCCACTTTGCCACTGATGCCCTGAGCAGATCTTGTTTCCACATTCAAGAGGAGCTGCGCTGGCCTTTTTATGTCCAGTGGGGAAAATATTTCATGTAGGGCAAGGTCATGAGAGCTTGAAGGAAGCAAAGCAAGAAAAGAAATCTCCTCAGTTTTCTTCTCTCCGTCTGTTTCTGTGATGCTGCTCCCCTCACTCCCCTGCTCAGAGTAGTTCACATTTTCCATCATTATGTCCAGTGAATTTTTTTTCAGAATCAGAATATTCCCAAATAACGGGATCCCTGAACCGGATCGTCCCAATCCATACCAGGTACATGCATCCCATCCTTGCTGGGTCTGTATGCTCAGTGTTGGGCTCATGTGTGTAGCTCACCTTTGAGGCCGGGATCCTCAGACATACCATAGGGATGGATGGAAATTGAACAGCTTCAGGACGAGGCCACCAAAAATGACACTCTGGGCAAGCCGTGAGGCACCTCGAGACTCATGTGTGAGCTGTGTGTGTTTAGGAATCAAAAATAAATATTGATTTCTTTGGGTTTTTTTCAAATATCAAGGACAACAGGGTGCCTGACACCCACTGCACGGGTGGCTGGAGTCTGCTCTGTTGTGTTAGAACAATCTGTGAATGTGGAAGAAATTCTTAGGTGGTTGCTCGGGGCTACCGATGTTATTGAGTTCATCTAAACAGCTCGGGGCTACCGATGTTATTGAGTTCACCTTATTTAAATGGATCACAGAACAAAGCAGAGAGGGAAATTCTGTGCAGAAGCTTCATGATGATGCTTTTGTTCTTCATATTTTGCATGATCCGCAAAAGACTGGAAACTCACCCAAAGCAGTGCCCTTTGAGAGAACCTGCAACACTTTTCTAACACCCAGGTTTTCTCTCTCTCTCTCGGGCAGCCCTGTTTCGAATCCACAGTATGCTTTAGCCTTAAAATGGGCCAAATTCTGCTGTACATCTCACTGGGGCACTGCCGCTGAAGTCCAGGGCCGCCCAGAGTGGGGGGCAAGTGGGGAAATTTGCCCCAGGCCCCGGGCTCCGCAGGGGCCCCCACGAGAATGGCTGAGGCTCCCTCCCCGGCCCCGGCCCGCCCCCGCCTCCACCCCTCTCCCGGAGCCTCAGCGGATCCAGGAGCATCCCTGACTCCGGCGGGGCCTGAGCTCCTCCCTGCTCAGAGCCGTGTTGTAAGGGGGTGGAGCTGCGAGCTCCGGGCCGAACGGTGGGAGCTCAGGCCCCGCTGGAGCTCGCAGCCCCGCCCCCTTACCTGAGAGGGGAGGAGCTCAGGCCCCACCAGAGCCACGCTGCAGCCCTGTCCAGGGACGCTGCTGGATGTGGCGTGCTGAGGCTCCGGGTGAGGGGAGAGCCGGGGGTAAGGGGTCGGGGTCGTGGGGTTGGGTAAGGAGCACGGAGGGGGCAATGGTTGGGGGGGGGCGGTCAGGGGACAGGGAACGGGGAGGGGTTGGAACGTGGCCATTCTGGGGGTCTGTCAGGACTTGGCGGCGGGGGGAGCGGTAGATAGGGGTCGGGGCAGTCAGGGGACAGGGAGCAGGGGTGGGATCCTGGGGTGGTGGTTGGGGGGTTGTCTCTGGGGGACAGTGAGGGGACAAGGATGGGTCAGGGATTCTGAGGGGGGCTGGCAGTCGGGGGGCAGGAAGTGGATGGGGGTCGGATGAGAGCAGGGCCAGGCTGTTTGGGAGGTACAGCCTTCCCTACCCTAAAGCTCATTCAGCAGTTTGAGGCTTGCAGAAGAGCCAAGCTGTTAGCTTTTCCATTAGGGCTGCCATCCCTTTCACTTCTCAAATGCCAAATTATAGACTATATTTAATTTCAGTGCCATAGGGAGATTCATGTCAGGGGAGGGTAGCTTCATTTAAAATTAACCACGGGGCGGAGGGATCTCATGAGAAGAGCAATATCCTACACCACCTACCTCCTTCCCAACCCTACCAAGGGAGACCTCCATCCCCTGCATTCCCTGAGGCTTCAGAGGGGTTAATTCAGTGGTTCTCAAACTTTTGTACTGGTGACCCCTTTCACATAGCAAACCTCTGAGTGTGACCCCGCCCCCCCCGCCCTTATAAATTAAAAACAATTTTTTATATATTTAACACTATTATAAATGCTGGAGGCAAAGCGGGGTTTGAGGTGGAGGCTGGCAGCTTGCGACCCCCAGTAATAACCTCGTGACCCCTGAGGGGTCCCGACCCCCTGTTTGAGAACTCCTGGGTTAATTTCATTTTAGCACCCTGTTTCCATTCACATGCATGTGCTATTTTGAGCATTTCAGTTTTCACAACATAGGCTCATCCCACATTCTGGAACAAGCTCAAATGCTCAGTTCGTGGACTATGTACATAAGCTATACTAAAGACAAACCCACAGTAACCGTCTCCAGTTTGTGAGGGACCCCATGGAGCCAGTCTCTAGGAAACAGATAAATGCATGGAGATTAAGTCCATTAATGGCCATTAGCCAGAATGGGTAAGGAATGGTGTCCGTAGCCTCTGTTTGTCAGAGATGGATGGCAGGAGAGAGATGGAGATGGATGGCAGGAGAGAGATACTTGATCATTACTTGTTAGGTTCACTCCCTCTGGGGCACTTGGCATTGGCCACTGTCGGTAGACAGGATACTGGGCTGGATGGACCTTTGGTCTGACCCAGTACGGCCATTCTTATGTTCTAACCTAAATGAACCCAAAGTTATGGAGACAGATATGAGCCAAGGAAGCCAGCAGAGTATCAGAAACCTGGAAAAATCTCTGACTGGATGGGCTCAGGCGTTTGGTCACAAGCTGAGGCGGTTCAAAAGTTTGGGGGTTTTTTGAGCAGAATTTTTTTTTATTGTTTCTTTAAACAATCAAACACAGCAAGCAGCAAATATTTGGCCACACACTTCTGAAACCCCAAACCATATTCAGGTTTTGGCAGACTAATTTCAGCTTTTCAATTAAAAAAAACACAACAAATTTTGAAGGAAAGCAGACGTTGTCCGTGATTTTTTCTGCTTTTTAAAAACCCCTAGTTTTTGATCCAAAAAAAGTTTTGACGGAAAATATTTGTCCAAAATGAGCTTTAGTGCCTTTTAGCACTAGCTGATTCTGAGAACCAGTGATACCTTGTAAAGAAGTTTTCTCAAAACTGGGTTTGTGCCGAGATGCGGAAAGTTTAATTTTCCCAGGGGTGGGAGCAAGTGGGGCAATTTGCCCCGGGCCCCGCAGGGGCTCCCACGAGAATATAGTATTGTATAGTATTGCAATTTTTTTATGGAAAGGGCCCCCGAAATTGCTTTGCCCCAGACCCCCTGAATCCTCTGGGAGGCCCTGGAACAACTACAACAATGGGGGACATAAGGCTTTATTCAAGGACAGATGATTGTTAAGGGACATAGTGAAAATAATTCAAGGTTGTTGGTGATGTTCACTGAGCAGCTGTAGATAGTCGAGCATCGGTGGAATGGGTTGCCTAGGGAGGTGGTAGAATCTCCATCCTTAGAGGTTTTTAAGGCCCTGCTTGACAGAGCCCTGTCTGGGATAATTTAGTTGGGGTTGGTCCTGCTCTGAGCAGGGAGTTGGACTAGATGACCTCCTGAGGTCTTTTCCAACCCTAGTCTTCTATGATCACTTCTGGGCCCAAGAAG